CATAACTAATGGAAGACTTAGAGTGTCTCCATTACCTGAGAAAATGATCTTTTCAGTATCGGTATAAATTATCTTTCCATCACGTTCGGTTATAGCAAGAACCCCTGAATTCAGAGCTACTTGTTTCAACCCATTTCCAACAATGAATTTCTAGGGCCAAGAAAGTGGAACTGCTTGGCGTTGCATATAAGAACTCCTTCCCTTCACAAAGGATTCTAATTGCCTCAAAAATTCAATGGAACAAGATGTGGTGCTTCATCTCGAAAATAACACTTCGGACGAGGCGTACAAAGGCTTTGTCCAATCGCCTCTGAGGGCACATGTGAAGGGACAGGCGAACAAAGTGTAAACCTTATGTGGCCTCTTGCTTTACTTTGGTTTAGTTGGCTATCAAACGACATGCCCATAAGCAGTGACACAATTCATAATGAACCATAATTTTTATCGACTTTTTAATTATATTATATCAACTTTTATCAAAAACTTTGTTGAACAACCCCTCAATGTTTATTACGAAAAAACATTTGCTTTGTGAAACATAGGTTCCTAGAGAAAAAGAAATTGACCGAAAAAATGAAAAAAAAAATACATAAATATTATACATGAAGAACACCAGTACACAATTACCAAACTCGGAGAAAAGTTTCAAATATCAGGTCTTATATCGATATAAATATAACATTAATATATACAAAATATAGAATACTATAATTTAAATCAGCATAATTAACATCATGAGCAGATTCTAAGATATAGCAACTATTCTATATTTTAAAACGGCTTCTCTCACCCCAGTTAGTCTCCTACCACTTTCTCTCTCTAACAACATGATTCACTGTTTTCACTCCTAAATCTCCACAAATTTACCATAGGGATTAGCCAGAATTGATGATTCTACTTCATTAACACCACATTTTAATTGATTAGGTCATAATGGCGTCGAGAATTTCTGAGGTTCATCATGTAGGAGTTGCCGGAATAGGTAAATAATCAGGTGATTCCAAATTTCATTTTCAAGCTATTGCACCTTCATTCCACCCTATTTTTGTATTACATATCACTGTAGAATATTTGATTTCACTATATCAACATCTATTAAGGTACTTATACCAGTGCATCCATCTATAACTAGTGCATATTATTTGTGATCTTCTAGGTATATTGTATTCAATTAATGATCTTTTATTATTATTATGTGACCTAATATGTATAATATATTTAAATTATGGCTGGTCTTATATTTTCTAAACATCAGACAAATAACAAAATGAATTTTGTCGAAAGAAGTGACTAGTAGAATTATACGTGCTCCTAATCAAAAGAGAAGTTCTAGACGTCCCCACTGAGAAAAGAGTAAAGTCTATCTGTGGAGGTCACAAGTTGTGGAATGTGAAATGTGGAAGGTGCGGTGAATTGGGTTACAATCGTAGGACATGCAACAACATGGTGCTACTTAATCAAAAAAAAGGAGAAATTGAAGACAAAGAAACTGAGAAATTAATTCGCATAATTCAACATTTTTTGTAATGACATCCGAATATTCTTTATACTTGTAAATTTTTTTATTTATTCAAACTTTGTATATTACATGATTCTTTTGAATTGAAATATTATTGAAATAAGATTTACTATTAATCATGCATTGTGAATTCATCTTGTGACATAAAAAACTCAAAATGAATCTGTATTTCATAAAATGTCTTGCAAGACCTATTAGATGCGTTTTCTATATTGTTTATGACAAAGTCTGTGTTAACAGTGACTATTTGTAACCAAATCTATTTTAACAGTGAATGTTTGTGACCAGATCTATATTGACTGTTACTATTTGTAACCGAATCTATGTTAACTATAAATGTATATGACCAGATTTATGACTGTTTATGATAATGCTTGTATTAACAGGAGTCTGTTTGTAACCAAGTTATAAGTTTTTAACATGATCTGTATTTTCATAAAATGTTTGCATGGATGTGACATATCGAATGTGTTTTCTTTGATGTTTGTGGCTAAGTAACACGGTGACTGTTTGCTTAGGTCTGTAATAACTATTACTGTTTTTACTAGATCTATGTTAATTGTGACTATCTTTGACCAAGTCTATGTTAACTATGACTATTTTTAATTGGATTTGTGAATATTATGACTGTCTGTGACCAGTATTGCATTGAATGTGACCTATTGTCTTATGACTGTGAATTGTTATCGTAAATGCATTATCAACATTTTTCTCTGTACAAAAAGTAACTTAAATTTATTTTATATAAGCCTGAACAATTCTATTTATGTATACTGATTTCATACATTAAAATCATCAATCGATAAAACTTCAATAAATAAAAATCACCAGTATTATTAAAAAGTTGAAAATATTAATCCACATGTATGTAGCAACCAATACTCGTCTACATAAACATCTACCTAAATATCAAAAATAAAAAAATCATTGTCAAATATTCTGGTTACAAAAAATAATTATCTATCTTCATTTTTCCCTTACTTTCAACATGCCTAGTTGATCCATTTCTAAACAACAACGATAAAATTTTTGGCCTAGCTTTGGTAGCATCGAATGACATAGTCGTGTTTGCAAGATTATTGTGGAGCAAGTATTGTGGGTACTTCATGACAAAAACTTCATAGTCATGCTTGTAATCATTTAAAAAAATAGCCCTTAAGTAACTACACAACATTAAGAGCTTGTTTGTCTCCCATTATTGGGAGAAAATTAGTGTAATGAATAGTATTGTTTGGAGAATGTGTGGTTGAAAATTAAAGTAACTTTATTGGTTTGTGTGTAGAATATTTTATTGAGTGAATGTGTGGTGGAGAATCTTACTATAGCAAACAATTTTTTAAATTAATGATAGACAAACAGGGGCTAAATAAGAATTTTGTTGCTGTTATATAATGAAAGTGACTTACCCATGTTATCCCTGTCATGTTAGAAACAAGTGTTGATTAGCATCTCCTTCTGCTCATCGTTGAATTTCATAACAAAGTTTTTTATCGCATTTGTTATAGCGTTGGTGGTAATCTTCCTTAAGAACCAACAATATTCTTTGATGAGGTATTTCTATTCCTGCATAAATGGAAATGTTATACAAATCACTAGTGTATAAGGTCACAAACAGAAACAATAACACTATTTATTCAGTTTTTGTCGTGACCTATAATTGATTGATTATAACATTTTTTTTTGTGACGGTGACTCATTCTACCAAATAACTCATAAATTGTGACCTATGCAATCACTTGTATTTTGACGTGCAGAATTACATAAGGGTGATACAAATGACTGACTTAAAACTTGACTTGAGTACATACCAGCCTTTATTCTAGTTTCATGTACAATGTGACTTGTGTTCAGTAAAATCCCGCAAGCATACGAAATCGTTGACAAGTAATACGTAGCAATTACATGTATCATCCCACGAGAAATAAATTTTAATTATATTATACTAGTTATTATCAAATTCGATGTACGTGACAAAAAAGAGTTAATTCGTTGTTTGTAATTAGTCTAACTTAAGATATGACTATGTAAAATATGATTTTTATCAAATTATGGATGAACATATCAGATTTCAAAATTTACCTATTGACTTTTATTTCCTATTATCAACGCATGTACTTTAGTGCTCTTCAAGTGCTCATGACAATCAATAATCCTCTAGTGTTTAACCTTCTTTTACAAGATAGATTAAGAGCTTGTTTGGGCCAAATTTTAATCTGATTTTAATCTAAGTCAAAGTCAAACAATAAATATCAATCACATCTTTCATGGGTTTCACATCTTTTCAACTACACATTTCAAAAACTTCTATTACAATCCACTTAAAGTTTGATTTTAATCTACATCAAACACCCTCTAAAGTTCTAAACATATCCCAAGCATGACTTGTTCATAAACCTAATCCGAATTCATATGCAAAGAGATGCATTCAATCACATGATTATCGACCTAGATTGCACACATCACAGATTTTATTCCTAATACATTGTCTGTGTGTCAAATACGCATTGTTCTAACCTATTGTGAAACTCTCAACTCTACAATAAGTCACAATTATCTAGATGGTGATCAAGTATTCAAGCAATGAAATAAGCATGCATAATTGATCAAGAACATTAGAATTCACTAAAATACTTAATCTTTGAATTAAAATCAATAGGTTTCATCATTTATGCAATACAAAAGTTTAGTCTAACATTGTTGTATTCAAATTATATAAAAAGGCATCATCCGAGATTTCAAAAAAAAACTAAATTAACTCAAAAACTCAATTTATTGCACTTCAATCTTCAATCCGAGCTTCGCATGTTCAAATCTTGTTGTAAAATCTCTTCTTGCCGCTTGCTAGCCTCTCTTCCATGACAAAAACTTGGTCCAAGACATTCTGGACGTCCCACTAGGTTAAAAAGACGCTCAATATATCATATCAAATCAAGATGGAACCAAGAAAGGAAATCAATTTTTCTTTTCGGAAAACAAAGATGCGTGCGCATGGTTATTATCCATGTGCACGCATGGACGGGCCATTTGTACAGAACCAAAAGAATGATTTATCTTGCTCGTGTGTGCTTAACATGAATCAATATCGGGGAAATATTTTCCTTGCAATTTGACTCTAGTAATCCATCGACCATCACCCATCCTGTTTACAACTTTTTGATGCCACCAGATTATGCTCGAATTTGTGGAACCGTTCCAGCACATAGCTCGAATTTGCATAAAAATGGGCAAATGACCATCAATCACCTATCCCTGGAATAGGAACAGTCACATGAGAGCTGCTAATTAGGTTCAACACCAATAAGAGAGGGATCTTTATGAACAAAGTATGGGGCAACAAGAGGAATGAACTACCTTTGCCCCCATCATCCCATTGACCAGTCCTCTGCTCGAGAAAATCAGCAACTTTAGTATCTTATAACAATGTTACATCTTCCACGACAGTAACCTCTTTTTGATGAGTAGCATTTATGACAAATACATCTCATTCCTTGTTGGACGATAGAAACTGATTGCCACGCCACAAATACATGATGTTAATGGACAAGTCTAACATGGAGAGAGAAATTCTTGAGTAACAAATCTCATACCGCTGTGGCTTTTACTAGTACAGCAATCTGGACATAGTAAATAAAAGTGGCCCAACAACCAACAACAAACATCATGCAGATTTCATCTAGATAGAGGCAACACTAGGAAACTTGTTCATGCTCTCGAGCAAGATGGTCCTCTAACTCTTCAGTGCGCTGTAACAGTTCCTCGTAGACTTTCAAAGAGTCAGCCGTATACTTCTCCATGGCCTTGAAAACATGTTGCAGACTTGCCTGAAGACTTCCACTTTTGCTGGTCTCACTCTGATACACAGCACGTCCAGTTAATGGCATACCACTGTCATCCCCAGAAATTAGAACTATTCTTTTGTCTAATGCCTGAATTTCCTTTTGTAACTTTTGGTCTTCCCTCTCCAGGCCCTTAACTTTTCTCTCGTCCTTGTTTGCTAACATCCTTTGTCTCATCTCCAACTTATCCCGATCCCAGAGCTGAAGCACACTTGTGGCAAAATCTCGCATTGAATCAACCACTTCTTTCTCAGAAATTCCCGCCAGTGATTGGGACCACTGGTAACATATTACAAACACGGGGGGAGCACCAATCCTACCAGGGGAAAAGGGAACTATTCCATCTGGTGTTTCTTCGGGAACATAAAGGATGCATTTCATAAGCCAGTTATTCAATGCTCGAATGTAACCCTTTTGGGCACCAATCCAGTAAGAGAATCTTAGTGTCCAATTAATAAGATCGCGTTCAAGCTGTTGAGTGGCTTCCAAATGAGTATCACTGAAGTGTTTGCGTAATGCAATGGCATCTAACCGTTTGGCTTCCCCAATTGCTTGACATTGATTGTGATGGCACTCAAGCATGGATTTCCACATCCTGGTTAACCTGGAGCAGAAGCCAGGAAGAAATTAAATGAGACAGACAGAAAACAATAATAGAAATTGATTTGTATGGCACCTAATTTGGCTTTCCAGTGTCTTTTAATCATATTGTTCTCAATGCTTAATAATGGTTAATTTGCTCCTAGTTATCAGTCATATTTCCTAATGCAACACTTGGACACATATGTGCCTCCATCACCTATAGCCAAGTCCACCTAACAAGGTTATATACCAAAATCAAGAACAAACTGAGCCATGTTTTCAACAAAATTGGGTAGGATACATAGTTACCGAAATACCTACCATAAATTCCTCTGGTTTCTCTACCATAAACCTTACCAAAAGCCATTCCATCCAAAGCACGTAAACCAGAAAAGTTCTGAACTTCCAGGTAACATGCCTTTTGATCCAGTAGCCACACATAAAAGCCATTTCTAATACTTTGACTGTCCAAAGAAAAGTAGTCATTTTTTTACCTAATGCAATAAGGAACTATTATAAATCTTTAGAGAGTTCAAATCTATAAAAACCACACACCGACATCCTATACATTCAATGTGCGATCCAAGTCGCATACCTAAAAACGGTGACCATGACAAACCACACGCTCTGCGATCTCAACTCTCACAACGGGCTGGCTTTGTACATAGTGCCCATGACTAGTCCGGACAAACACTGCTATGCTGACATCACCATCCGTGCAGCTTGATTGCAATTGAAAACGTCTTCTTTGATACTATTGCTATAAATTTTGGAAGAACAATACCTTAAAAACTAGCGATTGAAATTGGAGAGTCCAAACCTACACAAGGGCGTGATGGATATTATTGAGAAAAAAATATATTTTAAATAGTAATATGATGGAAAATATGTAGTTAAAAAGTAAGAAAAAGTTACTGATGTGATGGAAAATATTATTTTATTGAAGAATGTGGGGTTGAAAATGAGTTTTGAAAAAATATATTTTTAAAGAATGTGTGTTAATCAGGGGCTAAACCACACATCAAAATTGCATGCTTTAGATGTGGGATCCAAATCTCATACTTTGCAATACGAACCATAACAAACCACCATACTCCATTATCCCATGTCCACGTCAGATTGGCTTTGCACTAACCCATGACTAACAAACAAACACTCTGTGCGAAGTCTTTGTGGAGCTCGATTACATTCAGGAGACATGGTGCCTACTCTAACACCATTTTTATAGATATTTGGAGAGCCATACCTCAAAAGATAACTAAAAAAAATAGAAGAGCCCAAGTCTATATAAACCATACGTTGAAATCTCATACTTTCGATGTGACATCCAAGTCTCATACCTTACAATGAGAACCATGACAGAAACCTTTCAGGTTTACCATGCATCTAGCTCATATGAAAGCAAAACAAGCCACATTCCTCTAAATTCAAGTTTCAGACATTCATTTTTTAGAGGAAGTCAGGGATTGTTGTTCCCTTGCTTCTTCATTTCCTAGACTATATAATTTTCTGTGCTTAAAACTATCCTAGTAAACTGTGGTAGTTCGCTCTCTGAAAATGGAATGCCGGATAGGAAATTTCCAGTTTCTACAGCAACTCAACAAATAGCAAGATTTCAAATTTGTACTCTGTAGATTCTCCTCAAGATAATTTACTTGAACCTTCTCTAGCGGACAAAAGGTTGTGGATGTTGAAATCCATTTCTTGCAAGTCGTTCTTCCAGGCTCTTGTTGATTGCCAAACTACCCCCTTCCCCATCAATGTCTCGTTCAAATTCATTTGGAAATCTAGTGTCCCTTATAAAATATGGTGCTTCCATGACTGGTCTTAGCATAACGAAATGCACTTCTTTGTAGATGACCCTCAACAATCTTACTTCAGAAGTGAAGATCAACATTAAATAGACCAATAAGGTGCGCTTCACACCTAGAAAGACTCTTTCTAGAGTGGGAGGTTACCAAGGTGAAACAAATTATTTTATACATAAAAAAACATGGACATAGATGAAATTCAGCAAAAAGGTTCACTAGAGAACAGATCCTACGGATGCGAATATATCACTTGGTAAATATCTGAATCAATCAAGTATACAAAAATGAGGGGGAAAAAGTGTGATATGAACAGAAAGCCATATGCAGAGAGACGCCAAGTTCAAACTTGGGAGAGCAGTATAATACAGAATAAGCAGTCTGCTAAAAGGTCATAAGATCCACGTACCCTTGAATGAATTCATTTAGCTGGGGCCATAACTCATCGTCCCTCAAACCATTTATCTTCACTGAGATTTTATCGACAACTTGAATCGCAATTTTAATTTTTGTGGATAAACTCCTAATTAAAGCTCTTGTGGCATCAATTTTTTGAGCTTCAGCACCCCTTTCATCCAAACGCTTCAGTTTATGTGATTTCCTATCATGGAAGACCCTCATTTTCTCCTCAACCTGAAAAAGCATGAGTATAAATGCGATTAAGCAATTGCACCTCAACTAGTTAAACTTTTAGGTCAGTGATCTAAATGTGATAAACACATTTTAACTCTACTATGCTCGTGCCTACACAAAAGCACATAAGTAGAGTTTCGTCAGAGAACTACGCTCAATGGAACAATAAAACAAGATAACAGGTTCAAAAAATTCACTATTCTACAGAAGTTCTACGAAAGATTAATCGGATTAGAAGACATTAGCTGTAAAACATCATTCTTGCCTCCCTGGAATCTGGAGGTCAATGAGAAAAATTAATGAGCTTCAAAAGTGTAAACCACTTGCAAAAGAAGTTAGTGAATGTAAAAAGAAAGGATGAGAGAATCATGGTATCTGAGCAAGTATATCTATACCACAAAGTATTTCAATGAACTGCCAGTATATTGTCTACACTACGCTTTATCTCCAACATCAAGTTGAATCTCCAAGTACATACCAATTTTTAGATAGATACAAACTAATGCAAGATTAGAATAGCAAATTCGCTTCAGCGTCACTGTATGAAATTTAAGAATGAATTTTAACTCAGTACTTTCATCAATCGCCTGAAATATAATGAGATGAACACTCTTAAAGAACTTGGAATGCTTTACTAAAAGAATTACAAACCACTTTGAGGGTCATTATCATCATCTACCTGAAAATGTCGATAAGGAATAAATGGTAACTAACAAATTGAATCCTCAGCAATGTTCTCAAAAATGGTGCCAACAGGGGGACCACATACCATATAGTTGGTACATAATTAATGGAGAGTCTAAAATTGTTTAGAAAGATTAAAGCCAGAGGACAAATACAAATAAGATAACGTGGTGTCAGTGACAGGAATTAACAGTGTACCTTCACTTCTTCATACAGTTTCTTCTCCCAAAGGTACAGCTTATGCAAAGTAGATGAAATGTTTCTGGAGCCTGAACCCACAATTTGCTCAACATCCATGTTAGGATCAGCATTTTCATTCTCCGAGCTTCTGGAAGTTAAGGTATGTGATGCTACCCCCGGCAACTGCAATATCTTGGAAGAAACTGCCCCAAAAATACCCATAAATTTAAACATAAAAAGAGAATAGAAATGACTGCAAATTTCAACTAGGTCAAGCATACTCAAACTTAACTTTCCACCACAAAGTTATAAGAACCCAAGGCCTCCATGTAATAAATGAATTTATAAATACACCCATTAATTCTTTGAACACAAACACCTAAATAAAATTTCATTCTGGAGATAATATAACTAAGACATTCAAAATCAAACTGTATATCAATAGCAGAGGAAAAAATGGATCTTTACCATGACGGCCACCATGCTTGTGTTTATAGGGAAGCTTTCCGACCTCAAGCAACTTAGAAAGCTCACTTCCAGACTCTGAAGCTCGTTCAAATTGAACTTGAATTTCTTTCACAACCTCGGAATCAACCTTGAAACCACCCCGGGCATTAAATCCAGCCACATTTCCCCCATTTTTTGACCTGTCCTCATCATCAACCACCTTCTTATCCACCATATGCACTTCATACTCCACTGGATCACTCTCCATTCCGACTCTTGTCTTCGCTTTATATGGTGACTCATCATCATTCAGCACCCTCTCATCATCCACCTCATTGGCCGCTCCAGCAGTTCCTGCCTTCGAATAACTACTCCTTCCGCTATCCACAAACTTTTGATTTCCGTGAACTTCCTTCACGACTTCATCGTCATCATCTTCCAAATCAGGTATCCCCTCTTCCTCCCTCACTTTCCTTGAGTCCCGGCTCGGAGTGTAAGGCGGATTATACATCTCAAAGGTCTCAAACGGGTTAAAAAAATCCCAGGTCGAACTCCTTGGTGGCGACGGGGGAGGTGGAGGCGCTTTTGAACTGGACGTAGCAACTGCCCCATCAGACGGAGATGACAAGCCGCTATAACGCGCAGGTGGCAACGAAGAACCGAATAACCCACCTCCAGGACCCATATTCGGATAATTGCCGTAATTATCAATATTATTATTATAATAATAAGGATACGAAGGTGGGTTCTGAATATTATTTGCAGAAGGATACGAAGAGGAAGTAGAAGATTCACCTATATGCATAGTTTCTGGGATCATCGGCCGTTGCTCATACACAACAGACGGTATCGTTTGCTTCTTCATATAATTCATATTCGTAAACTTTCCACCTGCCTGAAGAGTTTCGTAATCCGGCATGTAATCAATGGGACCACCGTACGAAGGAACCGGGGACGGCGCATCATAATGATGTAGCGATTCCGAACCGGAATCCTCTTCATCTTCGGAGTCAGAGTGAAAGTGAAGATGCGAACCGGAGTCGGAGTGAGAGCGAAGGTGGTGAATCTTTTCCGGTGGTGAACCAGAAGGTTCAGGTGGTTCACCTTTCCGTTGAGCCGGAAGGTTAAGAACCGGCGAAGACGGTCCCGGAATATCATGATTAAAAAATCGATCGAGCGAAATGCCGACAGCCTTGAGTGAGTGAAGATAAGCCGCGTGGGCTTCAGCCAAGGCGTAGCGTTGGTGTATGGCCTCGTCTAGGAAAGTGCACCGCTCCCGGCACAAAGCCACCGCCGGCAATTCATCGAGCTTTGAGTTGGCGCAACCCATCAAATTTAATTCTCGGTAAAAACAACGCTGAAACTAGATCAAGAAAGAAAGCATAATTGAAAATTGGAATGAATAATATTTAGGGTTGGGGGAGAAAAAGATTACAAGATTGGGAGAAGAAAAGTAAATGAAAGAGGGAATCTTTTTGTGTGCCAGAGGGGAGTTTGTCTTTGTCGTCGCGTTGTATGTATCAGAAAAGAAAAGAGAGAGAAAGTGGAGGGAAAGAGAGGGCTGAGTCACTGAGTGTGTGGATCGTCGGAGTGAGTGTCTGAGTCAGCGTACAATACATATATTATTATTTATTTCAATCTGTGTGTATAGTATTTTACGCAAGTATTTCAACGTTTGAATGTACTTCTGTTTCCGGAAAAATTGCACTATTAATCGTTAGCAATAAGCTATTTGTACATTCTCATTACATTACTTTTGACATAATTTTGTCTTTCTATAGATGTATTGTCTATTATACCCTTACATCTAAGTTTTAACTATTTTCCGCAATTTTACCCTAAAATTCATATCAGAGCCTAATAACGAAACTGAAGAAAAATTTTTAGAACTTTATAAATATTTTCTAAAATGAATAGAAAAGATAAAATGATTTTAGAAGAATTACAAAATATTAATATTTTAACTAGAATTAATAGAATTAAATTACAAGAATTAGCGACAAATTTAAATACCGAATTTAAATCTCTAAGTGAAGAAATAAACAAATTGATAACTCTCAACAATTAGTTGAAATAAAAAATAAAGTATTACAAATTTTGGTTAATGAATCTCCCGAATACGAAGAAGAAGAGATTATAATAGATCAATTTTTGGAATAATATGATAAGTATACTCAGTTTTTAGAGAAAAATGATATTTTAAATCAAGATTTTTTTCTTAACTCATATCAAGAATATGGAATCAAATTTAGAAATTGTTAATAATAATATTAAGATATGACCAAAATTCTTATACAAACAAATTGAATCAAAATTTAAAAATTTGAAACATAAAAAAGAATCTTATATCTCAATTGAACCACATTTACCAGCTTATGTTATAGAAGAATTAGAAACAAAATTTTTTGAAACTAGTGGAGAAGAATTAGAAGCTTATAAACAAAGTTTAGAACAATTAGCTATTCAAACCGAGAATATATATATATATGAATGATCCTCCAAAAGACGAAACTACTGAAATTAATACTCCACATTTAAATCAACAAGTTGAAAATCAGTCATTAGTAGGAGAGACAAGTAGAAATAATATAACTACAGATTGGACTCAAGTCGAATCTGAGTACTGGAATTTAGAATGGATAAGAGAACATGGAAAGGAAGGAGAATGTTATAATTTTAGGAAAGAACCTAAAACTATTTCTACTAAGCATATAAATCTTAGGGATAGTAATCCAGTTAAACTATTTACTGAACCAATTCCTACAACAGGAATATGGCTAGATGTTGATGATAGCAATAATAAAAGTGAAATTATTGACTCTTGGGTAAAAACTACTGATTTAGCTGTTGCTTTTCATAAGTGGAATACCACTCAAGCTTATAATTTAATAATTCATACTTTTAGAAGAATTATTTCAAATATCTGGAGAAGAACTTATGAAGAAACCAAAAACAAGATTAAATATGGAGAAAAATCTACTACTATTATAGATAGCAATGAAAGTTTAGATGCTAAAAATTTTAAAGAAGTCTTAAAACGATTAGAAAATTTCTTTAGACAAATACTATTATGAGAAGTTATACCAAAAACTAAAATTGATATGATTACTCAAGAAACCTTACAAGCAGAAAGAGAAATTGAATTATTAAAAATCTGTGATATGTGTGAATTAAATGAATATACTAAGAAATTTTAAAAAATATATATCAAAGCATCCAGATCTATTAAAGAATGGAATCTATCTGAGAAAGATAAAAAATTATTAAATAAATATTTTCTTAAATTACCTTGACCATGTGGTCAGAAATTATTTGAAGATTACCAAATCTATTAGAATAAAATAGAATGGGAAAATCCTAACTATAGAACAGATACTCTAGGAATGAAAACTTCATTTGTTAAGAGAAAAATATCTGAATGGTGTAAAAAATCAAGGTATCAACACTTATTTAGGAAACATGGTAAGAAAGTTAATTTATGTTGTTATGGAGAAATAGCAGCAATACCACAATTTGGTTGTTACCAACCATCCAAGAAACCATATTATAAAAGGAAATTTAAAAGATATCTTAAACCTTGGAAGGAAAATAAAGGATTCAAGAGCCATAAGAAATATTTTAAGAAGAAAAAACCATGAAAAAAAATTCAACCAATATAGAAAACCTCAGAAGAAATCTAAAGAATAATTTTATAAAAAATGTAAATTTTTTACATGTAATGAAATAGGACATATATCTCCTAATTGTCCTAATAAAAATAAAAAAGAAAATGTAAAATCTATTAGATTAATGGAAAAGATAGAATATGACTCAGAATATGAGATAATTGAAGACTTAGATGAACTATCTGAAACATACTCAATCTATGAGCTAGATATTGAAGAAATTGAAGAACCAGAATATGAACAAATCTACATGAATCAAGAGATTGTAGACACTACTGAAACTAACTTAGATACTGAAGAAGGAACTTCACAAACTGTTGTGTTTGATGAAGAAAGATATGGAGCAATAAAAGAAAAACAAATATCTTTAAGAGATAAAGATGTGTTTGTTAGACCAATACTACCTTGGTTCAACAAAACTATATACATTGCTAAATATAATGAAGTACCCATTAACATCGAAAATGTTAAAGGCAACGCCACTATATCTCTAATAACTAGAGAATGGGTTAATAGAAAATTAGCTAATATAAAAAGAACCACTAGAGAAAGATTAAAAAATATTGTAATTGGAGGAATCCAAATCGTGATTGGAGGAATCCAAATCGTGATTAAAGGATATCTTAGAGAGGGAATGGATATTCCTATACAAATATACTTAATGGATAATAGAATTCTTCATGATCCTATGGACGCCTTATTAGGAGTTGTCTCTAGAAACCTTGTATACAAGAAAATCATATGCACTATAAGACCTGGATTTGCCATGTCTTTATTAGATGAAAACTTAAGTTTAGGATTAAATCTATATCACAAAATCGACAGATTAATTATGCCACCAAAAAATAAAGCTGTAACTTTACATTGTAAAGCTTTATATGCATTTACTATTACGCACCGAAAAGAAATCAATAAGATCTCAGGAGACTTCATACAAATTCTTGAAGACTTTAGAGACCTTGCACAATTTACACCACCAAGAATGTTAAGTAATAATAACATTTCCTTACCACAAGATATATTGCTTGATTTTCATCAGCAGTCTCGAAGAATAGACAATAATGTTGGGAATCAAGGATTGGTCACCTTGAATACCTTAGGACAACTTGTAGCTAGAATACCTAGTAGAAGAATAGAAAGAAGTATCAGCACTAGAGAACTTTTAAGTTCTAGCAGACCATCTACTAGTAGAAATTATCCAACAATATATAGAAATAGTATTGATATTGATATAAGAAAATGTGAGGAAGATAATTTTATTATCCTAACAGAATATATAAATAATCAAAATAACTATGAAGAAATTGTAGCCCTTGTCAACACAAGAGCTAGTACCAGTCATATAAGAGCAAATCTAGTTAACCATTTAATGGAAGAAGATTTACCACAAGGAATAACTCTTAGAGATTATCATGGAATTAAATACGAAACAAAAACATTTGTTAATCTTGAATTAAGTTTCATAGATATAGAAGGATAACAATTTAAACTAAATCTTAAAATCTATAAAAATTATAGAAAATGAAAAGATACTAGTCCAATATTACTTGGAATGAACTTTCTTGAGAAAGTTTCACCATTTCATATTCAAAAGAATACTCTACAAATAACTATAGAAGACAAACAAAAAATGATTCCTAGAATTACTAAAAACAAAGAACCAATTTATATTATACAAGAAATTAGATCAATCAAAACTAGTATACTTAGTCCATACATTGAGATAACTCTCAATTTACCAGAATATTGTATGATAAAGTTTTATGCCATAATTGATATTGGATCAAGTATTTGTCTATGTAAAAGAAATGTGTTCCCAAAACATTATTATAAAAGAAATTATAAGAAAACAACTTATGGTCAAACAACAAGTGATATTGTATAAATCTATAGAGATTTTGTAGAAAATGTTCCTATCATTATAGAAAATAGAGAATGTTTTATTCCTAGAATATATGCAACAGATAAAATTGGATGTGATATCCTTTTAGGAGAAAATTTTATCTATACATATAGTCTCTTTACACAATATAAGGATAGTTTTGAGTTTACTACACCTTGTAATCATAAAATTAAAACACCAAAAATCTATAAAGCTATTGGAATTGCATATCAACCTATTCACAATAGACCTAGACATCAGAGTTCTGTAGGTAATCGTGGTGGATGTTATACAGAAATTAATCAAAAACAAAAAATTGCAGTATTAGGAATTAGCAATTTAGAAGAAGAATTAGAAGGTATTAAATTAGAACTAAAAAAATGTTATCATGAACATCCCTTAACTAAATGAGATAAAGATAAACATATGACAACTATTGAACTAAAAGACCCAGATGCTAAGATCTCAGAAAAACAATTTCCTTATAGCGAAGAAGATAAAAAAGAATTTCAAATACAAATTAAAGAACTCTTACAATTAGGAGTAATAAGAAAATCAACTAATCCATATAATAGTCCAGCATTTATGGTCAGAAATCATAGTGAGATAAAAATAGGAAAAGTTAGAATGGTAATTGATTATAGAGATCTAAACTCTAAAACTATACCAAATAGCTATAAATTACCAATAAAAGAATTGTTAATTAAACAAATACAAGGAAATAAAATATATTCTAAATTTGATTGCAAATTAGGATATTGGCAAATAAAACTAGATGAAGCA